ACAATGCTTTGACCCCGTACGTTGCTCGGTTCACCGATAGAGTCAGTCGATTCACCAGCACAACCATCGCACGCACAACCATCGTGTTAGCGTTGTATTCGATAACTGTATGGATTATCGACACGTATATTAGCGTGCCAGTGTTAGGAGATTGTTTTAATCAACTAGTTGATCCAACGTGCCATGATTGTTTTCACCGAACATTTAGCGACTGTACATTCGAGTGTAATTTGTGTTAAAGTTTAGTATAACGTAGAGACTTATCATTTGTTATGACGAAATTGTAATCAAGTTCGTACTAATATGGTTAGAAACTATATTACGAGTGAAACGATAAACTGTTTTTTCGTTTCTATAAAATTTGATATATTACAAAGGACATGGTAATTGTGCCGTTGCTGCGTTTTTATACATTTATAAAACTGCTTAGGCAATTGTGAAACATCTTTTAGCATATTACAAAGTTAAGTCGCGAGATATATGAAATATTCGTCAGAGTGCAGCTCTGTAATATTTATGATAAAAGTTTTATTTGCCTGCAATGTTTCCATTTTAACAGAAATAAGGATCGAAATATGACATCCCTTCGTGGGTGGGACATGCAACATTAACAACAGAAAGTTCTGCATCTCTCCCCGTAGTAACATTCATACGCAGGTTTCGTAAAAGCTGAATGAAATTCCATTATACGCTTCGGGCTAATCTTCAATTACCCGCCATCCTTTTCGCTACTTAAATAATTTATCAAAAGGCAAGCTATAGAATATGTCTTTTGGAAAATGTATAAAATACAGGAAATTTATAAAAACCAGATCTCTCGGATTTGTCCTACGGCCACCAAGTTCAAAGCTTTGTGATTTCGCTGTTAAGAATACAATTATTTAAATTAATCAAACCGTGAACTCCTCGGTTAACGAAATCCTGTCTAGAGAGTAGGAAATACTTTTTACTCGAGTCGCGAGTATTTCGTGAATCGTAACTCGACACTTTCTAATTAATAAACAAAGAGACACGAAGATATCGCAAATTAATTTTCACTACTTGATACAAACACGACTGAAGAAATAGGAGCTGAAGGAGGATTTTTCATCGCTTCATCCAGATATCACAACGCCATACTTTGGATATCGTAGGTATTTTGCTGTTGTATCTTTGAATTTCCCACGAATATATAAACGATTATTCAAAGAAATTCAAAATATACAAACGACGTTGATTTGGTCTTGTCGTATAAACAGGTCAACAAGCGTAGCATTATTTGCACTGCGTGACAGCATTAAAAATGCAAAAAGACGGACTTGGCCTCGCCACGTCCAGTCGACGAGAGGAAATTATCATGAACGTTGCGTCAGTGTCGGATCAAAGTTCGAATTTCCACCATCGAATAACAGATCGAACTGTCTTCGATTCGTTCGCGTAAACTCTGCAAGCAAATACAGGCGCATTAGCAATTAACGTCGCGATATAACGCCAGCGCAACACATAAGCCTTCGGGTTAATTAGGTGAATATCGAATTCAGCTGCACACGCGTCTGTCAAAATTCCTCTTACATAAACTCCAACTGTACGTTTTCGTGGAGACAGAAATTTCGCCAGCGGAAGCCCCAAGCTAAACTACTGTATGTCGCAAACAGTGCAGCGGGGCTAAGATTTAATTCGCCGAAAGCGCGGAGGTGCGGGTCATTAACGTAATGGTAAAATCATCCGCGGATCCCCGCTTAATCTTTCCAGTTGTAAAATCCTCACGTTCCTCGTCATCGATGTAACGCTGCAGAACGACCGGCAGAGACATCGTAGAACATCATCGCGAACTGTCGACGTCCCGTGGCGGAACGACGAGGACGAGAATTCTCTGCCTCGTCGCATCGTCCGAGTGCATCGGAACGTCCACTTAAAAATAGAACGCGCGGTCTTGATTCAATTTCAGAAGCCCGAATTACATCTGCCCGGATAAATTTGCGGTCGATCCGTTCTCGAAATCAATTAATAACGATCCCACCAAGTCATCCTGCGAAATATATCGGCGCAAAATCGTGATTAGCTTCGGTTAATAATCCACGGCCATTATGTATTTAATCCTCTGCTCGAGATAGTTCAAAGAATTATTAACCCGCGTATGGGTGTCGCTTGATAAATTATCGAGCATTTTACAGCGTAATGTAATAAATAAAACAAAGTATTTAACTGGTAGATAGGGAGGACGGCGAGTATATTCGTCATTCGCCGTATCGATCTGTTTTCGACGTAATAATTTCTTCATTCGAGGATTCATAATATTTTTAGGTATTTCTGTTAACGATAAATCACGTCATGGTTAAATGTGGAAAGGGTAAATTGACTTAAGTGAAATTGATTTATCTTTGTTACTTTTTTCTTTCGTGATTATGCAAGTTTCTAATTAAGGAATAATCTGGTTAATAGGTTAGGAGAAGAAAAATATTTCCTTCCGCGAAATTTCCAATTAACTTGAAGATTTTGATATTTGAACTTATTTAGTAAAAACGGGGGAGGGAAAAGCGCGATAACGTGAATCGAGCGACGCCTATGTTTCCAAAAATGGCCAATTTTCACCTTCCGCCTCAACCTCGAATCGAAATCCAATGACGAATTTCGATAACGTTCAAACAGCACTATAATTCCGTGAGAGTAAAAGAGAATCCATTTCGTATAATTTTACGTGTAAACTGTAATATACTATAATATTGCCTTTCGTATATAAAATATATATGAACACGTTTTTCGTATTCCATTATCGTGCACGTATATCGTTTGTATAGAGCGACATAAAGGTAAAAAGATATTTTCTATTCGAACGTTATAACGTTAATTAATTAAAATGTCACTATACTATATTTTTAAGAATCCATGATATTTGCCGAGAAAATTATTTCCGTTTCACGAAGCTGGTTGCCTGTGAAAATGTGCGCCGGTATTTATACGGCGACCCGAGTTTACCAGGCAACGTACAACACCTCAGACGAATGGAGAGGAGAAATGCGCGCGGCTGCAGCGAAAAACACTGCAAGGACGCACGCCGGATGCTCATCCGTACATGCTGGCCGACATTCAACAAGTGACTGACACTGATGTCGCGCGAACGATATCCTACATCCTCTATCCTACGAACCGACAGGGTTGCATCGACAGGAACGCGAAGCGGGGTCGATCGTTTTTCCCGAAAGGTCAAGAACGAATGAAAAAAAAGTTGTGTTCTTTCGCTATTTCTATGTGCCGGCCCGCCAAACGAACAGAATAACGAGCGCACTAAAATACTTGAAATAGCCGGCGTTGAACCGCATAGTCGCGTAACCTCAATATCAGCAACAGTAAAACAACTTTTAGACGTTCCTCGTAAAATGTAATAGAACGCTTCGAAATCGTTTAATAACCCCTTCCCGATTGTGAACTCGATTAAAAAGTCCGCTTTCGACGTTCGTATAAAACATGCAAAATCACACAAGATTGTTCGGGGCAGATGTTAATTAACGACGTGAAAAGAACGTACTCATATATTCGTAGGGAAGAAAAAAATGAAATTCGAATGTCTGTCGTTGTTGTGGTTCTTGTTATTAATTCGGTGAATATGGTTGGATGTACGATTATCGAAAAAAAAAAAAAAAAGGAAGGGAGAAAGAATGAAATCCGTAGCGGATTTCAATAACAATCAAAACACGGACGTAACAAACGAGATGCGACGGGTTTAATAATTTACCAATTGAAAGTGCAATTACTCACCGTGCTCGCCGATAATTTCAAGTGACTGAAGGGCCCGTGAGACATACGGAGTGTATCTCAAGGGTTAATTCTGGCCGGTATACCATTGCCGAGATTTCCAGCCGATCAATCATTGACTGGTTACGCCAATGCAGCCACCTATAAAGCCACCAAAAATTAACGTGAAGCGATAATTGCCGCACCTATTCCTCGAAATATGTATACGCGATCAGCCTTGTTCATGCCTCTCCGCGATCTCTGCACTTACGAGTGAGTTCGTGCATATCGGCGTGAACGCCGTGAAACTGCGTCGTTACTTTCCGGTTATGACTCAAATAATTAATAAAACTAAATTTTCATTCTACCTAATTAAATTCAAATTTCATTACGCTGAAAGTTTCGTTTGAACACGGACAACGTGCCTCCCATTCTAGCAACGTCTAGTAACGCGGATTAACCTAAATGCCATATTTTTTCGTTTACTAGTTCAAGTATGAAATAACTTTTACTTTTTCTTGCATGCGTTTCTTAATACTGTACATAAATTTCATTGAATGAATATATACATCGACTATAATTTCATTACAGACGCATAATGATACTGATCGACGTCATGAAATAAATAAATATATATGTGTGTATAATGCGATAAAGAGAAAGAGGCAAACACAATGGCACGTTCGAAATAAACGATTAGCTACGGAATTTTCTGACGATAAATTCAAGTTCATTACGTATTAAATAAAAAATACGTTTATTTAATAATCACCGTAAGAAGCTTTATATTAAAAAATTAAGATCCAATTCATGTATTAAAAATAAGAAGATAATGTATCTGATTATTATCGTAATAAAGATAAACTAATGGTTATGCACAGCAAGTAAGCATGTACGCTATTCTATTGATTGTTATTGTTTAAAATGAGACGACTTTATATAGTGTTAATTGTAAAAAGTAGATTAACACAAAGATGAAATACATTTGATATAATCATCGGTCGTTTTTAAAATATATATATCTACACAGAATAAGAACATGTATGGTAGGTACGCGGTATTTATAATTAACGATCGAACAACATACTCGCCATCAGTAGTTCTCTGTGTTCGTTAATGTACGCTGATTTCCGCTGTAACTTCTTTATCTAACCTTCAAACCGGTTGGCCATCGTTCATCGTTATGTTGAAAAATTGCATAGTCGAATTGATTAACGAAGAAGAACAAAGCTGCTACGACAAATACAAGTTCTTCTCAAACTGTTCAATTAGACATATCGAATCGAATATCGAGAATTATATTACAAATAACCTAACCTCGAAACGCATTCATTTACTCCTGCGCACCATCGACCATCAGACGATGGCGCTGTTTCTGCAATTCTTGACAAGCACATATATATTTCTTCCGCGTCGTCACAATTTCGAAATTGTACGTTTTCTTTGTCGCTTGAATCAACGTACGGCGCAAATTGAGGATGTTCGAGGAACTTTGAAAAATATCGCTTCATAATTATATCTTTGGAACGCAGCTTTCGATTCTCGAACTCGCTTTGTATATCGAACGATATCATTGGTGGAGTTCAGGTAATGGCGGCGCTCGCTGCACGGGGCCCATAGGCGCGTAAATATCAGCACGGATGAGCGCCAACGAGCAAAGTAAAGAACTGGCTTTACTCTCTACTCATCTCGAAACAGAAGAGAAAGAGGGATAGAGAAGGAAACTAGTGACAAAGAACGAAAAAGAGGGGCTAGCAAATAGAAAAAGAGAAAATCGAGGGGCCGTCATAATTCCTTGAATTGAACGGCGGGTTATTCTCCACCAAGGTTACACCGACGTAGAGGTTGAACGAAGCAAGCGGGCCAAGCAAGCAGGCTAGCAACCTAGCAGGCAGACTAGCATGCAAGCAAGTAAGTAAACGAGCAAGGCAGTCAGGCAAGCCAGGCAAGCAGACAGGCAAGTTGGCTGGCAGTGAGACGCAGAGAGAAAAGCGAAAGAGGGGGCACATGACGAGTAGGATGAGAAGAGGTTGGGTAAGAGAGGAAGGAGGAAGGTAGGGAATCGATAGAACGACAAGGACGGTGCGCGAGTATATACCGCAGCACGGCAGCATCAGGCGTCGTCGGCGGTATATGGAGTTGGATCAGACGGGTGGAGAGAGAGGAGGGTAAAAACGTTTCGAGGCGTCCCTGTCTGGCGGCGCCACCGTTGCGTCGCTGTAGAAACGTGGTACCAATGCTGCTGATGGTATATGTGTGTGAGTTAGCGGTAACGATATAGAATAAGGGAATGTTAGTGGTAGTAGGAGTACGGTGGGGGAAACGTCAGGCTGGCAGGCTCGTGGGAGAGAGAAGTGAACGGCGGACAACGAGAGCTCATGGGGCGACAAGGAAGGGGA